AGAAAGCATGTCTGAAAATTATTTTCAAAGTTTGCTCAAAGCTGGTCCTTCTTCTTTCAAACTTTTTTGGCCTACTCAAGACTTCATCCTGATCCATACTTCCAAGAGTTTTAGAATTTCAAAAATTATAACCTCTGTGCATTGTATTAAGTACCCCGTCCAATCAAGAATAACATCTGGAGCAGAGGAAGATGTTATATTAGTAAATAATATTTATAATGTTAAAATACTAGCCAGCAGGGGCTACATGGTGTTTGTAAATACACTGGCAAGTTTAGTTCCTATGCCTAACAGTTTATAACTGATGATCAAATACTTTTTATAGGGGGCCCATATTTAAGGGGAATAAGATACTTGGTATTGCTAAAAAAAGCCCGCAGTTTATTGAAGTACTTAAACTTGGGATTCAAACTTGGGATCTTAATTTCAGTTACCTATTAAATAAACAAAAAACCCCAAATACCACCCCCCCACCCTCCCCTGCGCCCCAAAAAGGTCTGGACTATGGAAAGTGAGTTTTATGGTGACAAACTCTACCAAAAGGTGTTCCACTCAATGGACCAGGGTGGCAGAAGATGGTAGCACTGGCCACAGTGGCAAAGAATTGATGAATCTGAGATGCAATTTAGAGACTAGATTAGAGTTAATTTACAGCTGATGTAAACTGGAAATAACAAAGCCAAACAGGAGATGCTGATGCTGTAACTAAAGTATAAGGACCAAGGCAAATAAGAGCAGCACCAACCCAGTGTTTGGGCCAATAACCTTTTTTTTTCAGACTATGCCTGTGAATGATGAAGAAATTTGTACATTCCAGATCATGGTTTGTGACAATTTAGGTTTATCTTTATGTCTCTGGGCCCAACTAGTATTAATGGGGTAATCTGGAACAGCTGCAGTGCAATATTTTATGTGTAATTTATAAAGTAATTTGATCTGTAGGCTAAAGCAATTTATAGAATAAACTGAAAGGTGGCATGTGCAAGTAATAACTGCTATGAAAAAGCTTTCAGTAAAAAAATAAACTATTTTGAAGATTTGATCTTAATAAGCACAAAAGCTCTGGACAATTTAGAATATTTTTAGCTAAAATGTTCTTTACGATAAGCAGTAAACAAGCTTAACTTCTTTTACCCTTGTTCTGAAAAATATGTGGTATACCCCCAAAACCATGAGAAATAAAAGCAAGATGTGAATCTTGATGGCTCAGTACTTGTTTGTACAGATCTTCAGATAGTACTTAGTGCTCTAGGTTTCTTTCTAACTGCCAAGGACGTGAAAACTTGTCAAAGTCATTTTTATAAAACTAAATAAATTTGAATTTTCTTTAATAAACTTCCTTTAAAGTGAAAGTAAGTGAAATGATTTTTTATTGATAAATTCACATCCTCCTGTTGGTTAACTATGAAGAAAAACAGCACAGCAAAATGTGGTGGCACATATACTATTGTTCCCTGAGGATTAAACAGTCAAAATGAAGAGAGAAAAAATACAAGGAGAAAAACTCTGAAAATCAAACTTGAGATTCTAGGCAACATCTACAAAAATATATAAGTGTAGAATTTCTGAATAATTTATAATGGCCTCTATTAACTGGGATTATAGTTGCTTTCTTTATAAAAGATAATTATGGAAAATTGTATCAGCAGTGACACATTCATAGGCAACAGCTCAAAATTTTAAATGGTCAGCAGGGTGAACAGGGCTTTCACTTACGCCTACTTTCATAAATAGCTCTTGATTTCTCATACAGCTCGTATGGGTCAGGTTTTCGTGGATCAAAGGCCTCTGTTGAATCGGGAAATGAACTCCTGTGAAGAGCAGGTGGATAGGGAATATTCTGTGGCATAGCTGGAGCAGACAGGCTCGTTTGAGGGCTGCCTTGATTCTCCCATCGTTCCATCATCTGGAATAAAAACATAGAGAGCATAAGGATGAAGTTTTGCAAAAACTGTGGCTTCCACAATGAGACAGTGATTTCAGCTGAAGACCTATTTTGTAAAACTAGCAAATCTGTTCGCTGCCTTTTGAGATGAAAGGTGTGTGTGGTGCTGTTTATAAGATGACTGTTAAATTTAATTGTTTTGTTGCTCATGGGAAGATGGGATCTTTCTCAGTTAATATGGTGCCGTGTGGATTTGGGCCCAGCGTTACCCCTGAAGCATGTTGAGTGCCTCTCATAGAATGCGCTGAGCTACTGGAAGTTATGCTGCTAAAAGTGGAATCTGTGGGTCTGTGAAGGTACAGTTATCAGATTCATCAAAATACATAACCAAAAGTAGCGCTTACCAAAGAAGTGACCAAACTGGGCAGCAACTGAATGATCTTAATGCTGTATCTTTTAAGAATGCATGAAAATAGCTAGCTGCCCAGGGAGAAGTAGATTGCTGTAACTGTGAGCAGAATTTTCAGCTTCAATTGAAGAAAAAGAAGAAAAAAATCAAAGGGAAAATTATTACAGCGGGTATTTGAGCATCTAGTGATAGTTGGATGTTCGATGATAAAATACAGAACATGGTGAGAGAAAAGTGGGCATTAGTCTGATAGAGACTTTTTAGGTTTTTGCTGTTTCTTCCTTATATCAAAAATTACATTGGCTTTAGCCAACCAAACTCCCAAGCATAGGATAAGCTTTTCAACTCTTCCAGACCATTTACAGGAGAGAAGTACACAGAAGTGTATTGTCTATGCATGAAAGCCACCTCAATCCATGTTTTCTCCAAGACTGCCCTTACTGGCTCTTCTGCTAACAGCAGGGCTGGGACCTCCGTGGGGACCTTGGCCACTGTGAAGGCCAGTTGCTTCAGGTCCACGCTGGCACTCATATCGCAGGTTTGTTTAATTCTATCCCCACTCACCTTCATCTAGACTGGCTTTAACTTGGGTGAGGATGAAACTAGCTGAGGTTTGCTTCCACTTAAACAACTTGGTCATATTCAGACCTTTCCTTAAAGCAACATGGCTGCCTGGGTAGATGCAACCTCAGGTTGGACTTGATGTTCTTAAAGGTCTTTTCCAACCTAAACAACTCTATGATTCTATGATTCTACTGGTCTCACAAGTACATCAAGCCAGAAAGGAGATAATATGATAAATTGTGCAAAAGAAGACTTGGGGATCTACATTTTTTTTTTTTTTTGGAGTTGGCTACTAATTAAATTGCATTAGCAAGTATATTTGAAGAGGCTAAGTTAAACAACACACAAATGTTTATTCCATGAAATGAATATTTGGCTTTTCCTGTGACCCTTCCTGAAGCAAATGGTGGTAAAGCCTCTAGAACAGTGTGTTCTTGCACATAACTCAACAATCCGTTAACTATGCAAAAAATGACTCTTGGAAACAAACTGAACTGTAATTAAATATCACTGACTTCTAGCATTGTATCAGCAGTGCCTTATCAAAGATGACTGCAGGTTTACAGCAAGTTTTCTCTACAAATTCTGCGATTATCATTTGCCTTTAGTTCCTTGGTTTCAGAAGGTGTTTGGCTCAGCAGGTGGGCTTTGCTCTCTATTCTGATGATTAACAGCATCAGGCTTTTTCCACACCAAGTATTTGTGGACTACAGATGTTTTGGAGTCCTCCTGGGGAACATGCCGAGTAACTATCGCTCTGCACATCCCAGGTGATCTGACACTCTTAGCTTCATATTTCAAAATAAACAGAATATGTATATTGCCTATTTTAGGTTTTTGAGGACCTCATTCTTTATACAGTATAGTGTTATAATTCAAGCTGTGCTTCTGTCAGAGTTTCATCAGTAAGTAGGGCTGGTTCATTAAAAACAATGAAGAAAAGAAAGATCCAATTATCTCAGTCAATCATAGGATGACTCTCATGCACTAGTAAGTATCAGATATGATATTTAAGTTGAGAAAGGAAAGTATTAGTGCTATGATGTGATGATGATGAAGATATAGTATATTGTATTCAAGAGTCACCAATGTTGTTCAAGAAAGACATTTATTTTGGGTCAGATACAGAAGATGGCAACTAGGATGTGATATAAGAGACCACCATAGGAATGTAGATCCTGTGCAATACAGTGACATATGGAGATACCTGAGTTGTCATTAATATAGCTTAGGTACAGGAAAGTACCTAAGGTACCTTCAAGTACCCTTTATACCAAGATAAATTTAAACTCTGTATTCGGTAAATTAGCCTATGTAGCAAGTCACATGAATGTCACAATAACCCTTCTGATAGGTCTTCTGGCTCTAAAGGAATTATCTCAGGTATATATAAACATATATACAGTATATCATTGTACCATGGAAGTGTAAATTCAAAGGTCTCCAGAAACAAATCTGATTATCACCCCTATGTCTACATAGGAAAGGAGAACTGGGCTCAAGACAAGTTCCTTATGATCAAGGAAAATTATGAAGAATTACATTTAGGTTTTACCTTCATCGAGGAATGTAAAAAAGAATATAAGTCAGTGGAACCAAACTATCTACCTTATCGCTATGAAGCAGAAAGACCTGTGAGGCCCTGTCTATCTAGAAGTGAGTTTCCTAATTTCTTGGACACTTCCGGTGAAAAAGAACACTTACCTCTTTCAAAATGTGAAACTGAATAAAATAAAAATATTTAAAGAAGGCTTTAAAAAGAGAAAGGAAAATATAATTATCTTTGATGAGCAAACTTTTCCCTGGAGGAAGGACAAGAAACTGGAGATCAATTGGCAAAACCCTACTGGGTCCTATATGGCTAATTCTTGCTTGTTGGTTAGCTCTAAATCTTCAAGTGTGAAGTTAAAAATCGAGCAAAACATTCTTGCTTGTGGGTAATACTGCTAACATAAATAGTTACATAAACAGATAAATACAAGGGGAATTATATCTCCCAAACCCATACCAATTAGTTAAATAGTCACATAGTGTTTTGCAGTGTGAGTTATCATAATGCTAGCTCACAGATGAAAGTCAGTAAGCATGGCATTAAATGCAGGGCATCGAATCCGAGTCAGGGTAATGGTTTGATGATATTGCTCAAGTTCATTTTGCACTAATCAAACTGTATTACATATGGTATATATAATATATGCCCTATATACATAGAAACCACGGGAAATTTCTGCCAGCCCAGGCTACTCTGCGATGTTGAACACACTAAGATGCAGTGCATGCCATCTCTGAGCCTCTGCCTCCGGGAGAGGAGCTTGTCTCCTCTGACAGCCAATGGCCCCTAGTCCTCTTTTAGCTTTAAAGAATGGTGGGTGCTTCTGCCCTGTGTGGCCAGAGAGGCGAGGGGGCAGTGGTAGTCACCCAAGCAGAAAAGAAACCTGGTTTTGGGCCATCTATAGTTTTTCTTTCCTGTTACACACCTACAGGGCTGTGCTGTGGTCTTGGGAAGGCTTTCTCCCGGTTGCTGGCCTTATTGCTTCAGACTGTCTGCAGACACTCAGTGCTTCAAGGGCACTTGGTTTCAATCTTATCTTCACGTCTTGGGCACTAGAAATTTATGTTTGATTATTTCTCCAGTTAAAGTGGTGACAGACAGAGGAATGCATGCTACCTTAACCTGGTGAATCACTGGGAATGTTTTCACAACTTCAAAAATCATGTAATGTGGTGTCAACAGAATAAATACAGTCATTGTTTACAGTCTTACAGCAGGAAAGGTCTTCATACCTTGGGATTTAATGTCAAAACCATAGAAACAGAGAAATGTTGGTTAGAAGGTATCTAGTCCAAGCTCTCACTTGAAGTGTGACTATTTCCAGCTCTAGATCTACTAATGCAAGAAAGAATAACAAACACTTTAAGGATGTTAAGCTCAAGCCACTTGTAAACCAGAAAAAGTGCATGTTGTCCATTTCAAAGAGATTGCCAACTATCAGGCCAACTAGACTGGGGAGCCTCATTGCTGGGGCCTTCTTCTGCCTATTCCCGCAGACACCTCATTTCTGAGCCACTGTTCTTGACGCCCATCTTAACATTGAGATGTTCCTTTCTCCAGACTGCTGCCGACAGACTCCGAGTCAACAGATCTGCAGAGCTTATTAATGAGGCCACCCCTGATGCTGTTTCACCTACAGTTGGGGCACTGCTGAGAGGTGTCTCATGAGCTGGGAACAGGAGGGTTAGATGAAAATTTACAGAAATTTGCTTTAATTATAGTAATCTTTTGAACTCAAAGTGTATCATTTTGAAAGAGAACTTACAGGCTTTGGAGTTTTCCATGGAGAAAAGAAACCTGAAATAAACAAAAAATAACATTAGCAGATTTCTCTCATGCGTAAAGAGTGAAGGCTAAGTGGTGTCTATGCTCCCATTCTTATTCAGGTCTGCAGATAATATTGATATATATGAAAATTCTCTACACACAAGGGATGAAAACACAAACCACAGGGGATAATTTCTAAGAAAAATTATATGCAAATATATATATATATATGCACACATATATATATATATATGCAAGTGGAGCTATTGAGATCATTGCCATACTTTACAAACAGCATGGGATTAGGTTGAAATTAAAAAAAAACTGAACAAAAGGATTTCCAAATGCCTTGGTAGACATTGGATAAAATGGACCTGGTATTGATGTGTCAAATGCAGTCGCACCTTTAAGAAGAAGAAATTCAGAACATCCCATCAACAAAACCTAATAACACAAGAGATTTTTTTAGAAGAAGAGTCTGGAGAAAAATAACTCTTTCATCAGTCTAGATAAGGTAGCTAATTCTTGGGAGGGTTGCTTGTTTTGATATTGTCCTGTTTTTTTGTCATAGTCATCAAGTGGTCAGACATGAAAACCTCATCTACACAACTAGTTATCTCTTTTTCCTTGGTTATTGACTGACTGATAACTTGCTTTAGCGACTTTCATGAATTTCGATTATTCTAGCTTACAAACATTTAAAATTCCAGATATATCCTTTTCATAAAAGGAGATAATTTAAAAGACTCATTGTAAACACTACTCTTATGCAGCACCATGTTAAAAAACTTAAAAAATATTAAACAAAAAGAAGCATTTCAAAGGATATTGGGTCACATTTTTTAAAATACTAGCTTTCGGCATAGCTTTCATTAAAAAACTAATTCTCAGTTTAATAGCACGTAAAAAAAAAATCGGTGGACCTTCCTAAGATTAAAAGCTAATAACATAGAGTTAATTTGTTTTGTCAGAAATAGAAATGGGCCTTAAACTGAGACATCTAACAGGAAGGCTGCTCTTTCATTCAAAAAATGAATTGAGCTGTAAGAGTAGTACTGCTTTCATTATTTCTAAGGTGAATCTAGAAAAAAACTAAAATCATGAGCACACTGGAGAAAGTATCTTTCTACATACAAATCACAACATATATTTGTACATAGCATTTCAGGCTCCTAGAATTCTGTGGTGAGGTAATTTTTTCTGCCATGATCTCTTATTCATTTAGACTGAAAAAATCTTGGAGTAAAAAAAGCACTTGGACTATTTGCAGAGATACACTGGCTGATTTGTAATGCCGATGTCTAAGCTGATAGCACTTTTAAACAAAAAGTATATTGGGAAAAGTAATCCTGGAAAGGTTTATGTTTAATGACTCTACAGTGTCTGGTAAAAACTGCTGTATTAACCAGTACACAGATTTCTTACCATCCACAAAATCAAGCTGAGATAACAGGTATCCTGTACAGATCTGGCTTGTACATCACCTGAAGTATTAAAGATTCTGTAGCAGAAATTTATTTAATAACTTCTGGGATGGCAGATAGCCACCTTTTTATTACCTGCTATTGCTCTGTACAGCTAATAAGACTGAAAGTTAAAAACCATTTTTCCCCTTGGAGCTAAAGATAAGACTTGAAACTTGCAAGGAGTTTTGCTGAAAGGTATCTCAAATCAACTTACTACACTGATTTGGTGTTCAGAAAATATTGGTAGAGGTAATATTCACTCCCCATTGGTACTGATGTACCTCCCATAACTTATAGTCAGCAAGAATTACTCCAGGTGAAACTGAAAGATCATTTTTTCCTCATTATTTGCTGTCTCCATCTAAAAATATGTTTTGCTGGAGTTATCAGAAAATGTTACTATCAATTAAAAATCTAATAAATATTTATAAATCAAATAAGTAATGACATATACATCAAGTGAAGATTTTTTTTAAAAAAAACCCCTCAATTAAAAAACTCAATTATTTGCCCAAACAAGGAGAACATGGACTTATATTTAGCTTGGAGGCTATGGGCATAGACTGCAACATACAAATGACAACATCTACGCTCAAAACAAATAACAGGCAATATTTATTCAAACAGCATGAAATCATGTTAAGAAAACTAATGGATATAGAATGCCATGGAAGTAAAAGATCCAAAGCAAGATTTAAAAAAGTATTGGCTATCCATATGTTGTGGTTTAACCCCAGACGGCAACTGAGCACCACACAGCTGCTCACTCACTCCCCCCCGGTGGGATGGGGAAGAGAATCAGAAGATTAATAGTACAAAACCAAACCTCTTGGGTTGAGATAAGAACAGTTTAATAATTGAAATAAAACCATAAAAAAGTAATAAAAATGGTGATGATGATGATGATGGTGATATAAGAATATACAAAGCAAGTGATGCACGATGCAATTGCTCACCACCCACCGACCAGTGTCCAGCCTGTCCCCAAGCAGCAGCCCCCTGGCCATCTTTCTCCCAGTTTATATACTGAGATGGGATCATTATGGGATACCCCTTTGGCCAGTCGGGGTCAGCTGTCCTGGCTGTGCCCCCTCCCAGCTTCTTGTGCATCTCCAGCCTTCTCAGTCGGCAGAGTATGAGAAACTGAAAAGTCCTTGACTTAATGTAAGCGCTACTTAGCAACAAGTAAAACATCAGCGTGTTATCAACGATATTCTCATAATAAATCCAAAATACAGCTCTATACCTACTAGGAAGAAAATTAACTCTATCCCAGCCAAAGTCAGGATACCATATGTGTACAAGCATGTTAGAAGTGAAAATCTCTAAAGGTAACAAACCTTGGAACTAATACTAAAATCCATTCTTCAGATTTAAATTCAGCTATTAGATCAAGACCTTTTGCAAGTTGAGATAGTCTCTCACCTTTGTCAAAGACTAGGTGCTAGACTAAATAGATGAAGGCCTAGGTCCATAAAGCAACCCTATCATGCACTTAATGGAAATTTTAATGTTGCCTCACATAACATCTGTATTCTCAGCTGAACTAAACACACTTTTTCCCAATCTAAACAAAACTGACCTTCAGACAATGTCTGGCATTATTCAGCATGAGACTGACAATGGATAACTGTTGTGAACCAAACATGTCCAGAATTAACACTGGTATTTAAATACATGCAATCATTGCTGTAAATTCAAGAATCCAAGAGTATAATGCATATGTAGTACATTGTAAGTATAACAGAAAATTCACATGAAAAAGCATAAAAGCAAAATGCACTTTCCTGTGTAATCTGCACGCTCCCTTCAAACTTTCACCTTTAAATATTGTTCTGCATAAGTACAGGACCAAATTCTCTACATGTAGGCTTGGAAGCTCACCTGAAGAATATATGTTAATAATGTGTATTTAATGCATACTCAACAATGTTGGCCTTCTGCAGCCACAGCTACAGCTGGCAATGAGAAGCAGCGGGCTTCCTCTTAGTTTGACCTCACTTCACAACACCACATTTGCCCTTGGCTTTCTGGCGCTGGTTCATTGCATGCTGTGAGTATTCCCCACCAGAGACAGTGGGACCTCACCTGAATGACAGCTGGCAGACCGGCATCAATTCAGTACTGATTTAGAGGCAGCACTGAAATTTGTTCTCCAAAGGGTGCAGCTCTCAACTTCTGTTGAGTATTAATTACTACCTAGTAGTAGTACTAATACTGCTCAACCTTCTAACCAACTCACTTCTACCTAGGCACACATACTGGATAAGCTCTTAAAACCTCCTTATCCCACTTCCAGATTTCCACTTCTCCCTCCCCAAACTCCCAAACCCCTACTGTCCAACTTGTGAGGTCTTCTATAAAAACCTGAGTAGCTGAGAATATTATATACATTTACATAAAAACACCCCTCACCCCCATATTCACATACGCTTTTAAAATTTGAAATACTAAAAGCCAACTTAGATCCACCTAAAAATACTTCATGCAGCCTGTTCTTCCTATGAGTGGCTTTCGGCTCACCCATGTGCCTGACAGCCATCCCTTCTCAGAATAACTTCATCACATAAGTTGTGGCTCACTTTCTGAAGACTCCTATCTCTTTCTATTCATGTTAGATAAGTCTTTATTAGCACTCTTTATAAAGGCAGCAGTACAGGTCTGAACTAATTTTGGAAAGGACAGTGTGGTTACTGGCTTCTGTCAAAGAGCAACCACCACCACTCGGCTAAATGTTAGCAGGAAAATACTACGGTCACCATCTAGTGTAATGTAATATAATGTGTAAGCATGCGAGGATAAAGCACATCACCTCATATACTTCTCCAAAGTTAGTTTTGAGAATACAATGATTTATTTTTCAATGTCAACCACTTGAACTGTGTAATAAGGTACAGCAAAGGTGGCCAACACCATTATTGAAATTTTAATTTTTTAATTTTAAATAAAAAAGCTAGGTACAGTAACAACCATATGCTTTTTAAAAACTAGGATTACATTTTCTCATAAACAGTGTTAGAATAATTATTCTTGGCATCGCTTTTAAAATTATATTTACCACCTTCCAAAATGAACTTCCCTGGAAATCAGAGCTGTGATGGTTTCTGTGTTGTAACTTTACTAAAAAACACCAGTAACAGAAAACAGATTTTAGATTCAAATGTATTTAGGGGAAAAAAATTTTTTTGTTTCTTTTTTCAGATCAAGGCAAATTCCAGCTTCAGCTTACTGTACTTCTTTTCGATGAAGATATCCTATAACAAAAGACAAATCACATCACATTCATTGTATCTATTCCTTCTTATATGCAATTTTAAGTATGCTTTTTTCATAAAATATGCTTACGGATTTCACATGCCTTACACTTCAGCCAGTATTTATTATTGGAAAATACAGTTTTCTAAAAGCAGCTTATCAGACAGGACTTAGAGCATTTGTAAGATAGAGTCCTGATTTGTTTCTTTTCTTTTTTTTTTCAGTAAAAGTCCTGAATTTGGCATATTCCATAATGTCAGTAATACAAAACCAGCCTTTGGTTTTTAGTCTGCTGCCATGTGGATGCTT